CACACACACACACACACACACACACACACACACATACACACGGTAACTTATGTGAAATTAAAAAAAAAAGGAATGAACGAGGAAAGCCTAGAAAAAATAAATTAAACCTAAAAACTTAAGAATAGTGCAATGTGTTGAAAAAATTATGATGCTATCAACTTAATAGTTAAAAAGTATTTAAAAAGATGAAATTTTAATTAGGTGCTGGAAGATAAAAGATAAACAAAGGGTAAAAGTCTAAGACCTAAGAGGACCAAAAATGAAAAGGGAATGAATGTACTATAGTAGGATTTAGACATTAAAAGAGAAAAAATATCAGAAAAAAGGAAAAGAAAATGTATTTATTTAGCTTTGAGTAAAGCCAGAACAAAATCGGACTATAATCAGATGCCTGCCAGTTGGAAGCAGTTGAGTAGGCGGGTCTAATTGCTGAAACCAAGGAGGCCAGACCCCTCCATGTGGTGATGAGACACTTTTACTGCTCCCCCACAGCACCCTAGGCCCGTGGCACTCTCATGCCATGCAGGTGAAGACCAGGCTCCTGGCACCTTTTGGAATCCCACAGCTAAGCTGAAGGCCGGCCCACCTTCCATGAGCTGGTTTCTCCCAAAGTTGTACCTGGGCCCGCTAACACTAGTTCACTTTGGTTCTTGGAATGTGTTCAATTCTTAGTTTCTTTACCCTACTTCATTGTCCTTTCATTATCATTTACTTCCTTTATAATGTAATTAGCATGTGACAGGCAATTAAATCATGCTGTTGAATGAATTCATTCCTCTTATCTCCTTAAGCTTTGAAGTTCTTGTAATCTTTCATTTGGTCATTATACTCTTTCACAAGCACCCCACCTTTATCATCTTGGTTCATCTTTAAGGTTGCAACACTTTTCATTGATTCTGAGGTGCTTCTTTCACTGTTATTGGTGGTGGTGGAATTGGGTGGGGGAATTAGACAATCTATAGGATTTGCTCACAGCTGGATTGGTGGGTGAGGGTGGGGAGGGAAAGTGTAGTCAAGGAAACTCCTCCACACCTGCTTTTGTGACTGGGTGGATGTTGGAAGGCTAGGTTGCAGGTGGTGGTGACTGGAATCACGGTCAGGCTGGAGTCCTCTTGGGGCAACAATAGCTATCTATAACTCCTAAACTCCTGGGAAGATAGGCTTTATAACAGGCTTATGGACTGAATGTTTATGTCACCCCCAATACTTGTTCAAAACCTACTCCCAGTGTGAGGGGAGGCGGGGCCTTTGGGAGATAATTGGGTCATGAGGGTGGAACCCTCAAGAATGGGATTAGTGTTTTTACGAGAAGTTGGAGAGCCAGCTCACCCTCCTCCTGTTATGTCAGGACATGATAAGAACAGGAAGTAGACCGTGATTAGACAATGAATCTATCAGTGTCTTGATCTTGGACTTCCCAGCCTGTGGAACTGTGAGAATTAAATTTTTCTTTAAGCTCCTCCCAGTCTGTGGTAATTGGTTACAGCGCTCCACACTAAGACTTAAAGTCCCTCCCAAAGCCAAACTGAACTCTTCTGGGGACTGCAGATGTGCCAACAGGGGATGGGAATCTGGTCCTACTCATAGCCTTCAAAGCATTTTGCATCATTTACTCGTCATCCATCATCCAGAGACCAAAGTCAGGCAAAGCAGAGTTCCTCTATGATCCCCTGCAGTTCTCTAAAAATATTCCCTTCATAATAAGTGAAAGGCCAAGGTTCATCGTCGGAGATTAAAATGCACACACACAGATAGCAGTGACAAAGATGAAGCACTTTACCGCAAGCTGGTGCTAGCTTATATAGAAAGTGAGAGACAGTTATCTTAAACCAGGAAGCTCCCGGGGCCAACCATAGTAAAGGTCAGGTCATCACCTACGGTGCACGAACGTCTGCCCTGCATAAGATTCATGGGGGGCACGAACTGTCCAGGAGCTCGGAAGATGGGAGGACCAATTAGAGAATTTTCAAAACAACTTGTTATCTGCCCACTGGCAATTTGCCTACCGCCTTGTCTGAAAGGCCCGGGGAGTTTTCAGGGAGACTCTCAACAATAAGTATATACTTTCAACCCTTGAGAAACCACTGAAAACTCTTAGAACCTCAGCCAAATGGCACCTAAGGACAAACCTTGACCTTTCAACAGAATACAGCCCTTTGGAGTGGATGATGCATTTGAGGCTTCCAGGGGCCTGCAAGATAGAATTCATCAACTTCATGTATTTGGGTCTTCTCTTTTCTATATCATGAGTTGATTTTGTCCCTTTTGTTCACAAAACAATTAATCTGGGCTGGGGATGTGGCTCAAGTGGTAGCGCGCTCGCCTGGCATGCGTGCAGCCCAGGTTCGATCCTCAGCACCACATACAAACAAAGATGTTGTGTCTGCTGAAAACTAAAAAAAAGATACATATATATATATAAATATATATAATTCCCTCTCTCTCTCTCTCTTAAAAAAAATTAAGCTTCCATTTTCAAATTATAACTACTTTCCCATTTTAAACTTTGCTGGTATTACATCTGGGTTCCTGCTATAGATCAAATGCTTGTGTCCCCCCAAATTCCTATGCTGAAATCCTAACTCCTCAAAGTAATGATACCAGGAGGTGGGATCTTTGGTAAGTTTTTAGGTCCTGAGAACAAAGACCTCATGAATGGGATTAGTCCTTTTATAAAAGAGACTCTACTGTCATGTGAGGACACAGAAAGCAGATAGCCATCTATGAACAAGGAAGTGGGTCCATGCCAGACATTGAATCCAGGCCTTCAGAACTGTGAGAAACAGATGTTTGTTGCTCATAAGCCATTCAGTCTATGGTATTCTGTTATAGCAGTATGAGTGAACTAAACCCCCTTGACTGTTATACATTTTGAATTTCTTGGTTTACTTCCACAGATAACTAGTCAAATTCATTGAGGATAGATTAACAATTTCTCAGAATAAAACATTATTTTAATTTTGGGGGGAAGAGAGTTTAATTGTAATACTTGTTTCTTCTAATTTTTTTTTGTGTGTAGTTGAAGATGGAAAGTATGCCTTTATTTTATTTGTGTACTTTTATGTGGTGCCGAGGATGGATCCCAATGCCTCCCACATGCAAGGCAAGCACTCTGCCACTGAGCTACAGCCCCAGCCTGTAGTACTTGTTTTAATGGAAACGCACTGAAGTTATGGACTAGAGGTAGACTTGCAGGGCAAGTCTATTATCCTATGTTATAATTTAGATATGTGGTGTCCCCCAAAAGCTCATATTTGAGAAAATGCAAGAACATTTAGAGGTGAATAATGAAATTCTGGAACTGATATGGATTAACTGGGTGGTAACTGTAGGCAGATAGGGTGTGGCTGGAGTAGGTAAATCACTGGGGGCGTGCCTTTGGGAATAAATCTTTTGTCCTTTGTGAGTGGAGCCTGCCCTCTTCTTCCTGGTTTCCTTGTTCTGAGCTGCTTCTCTCTGCCATTCCCTTCCACCATGATGTTCTGCCTCAGGACTATGGAGTCAGCTGACTTTGGACTGAACCTCTGAAATTGTGAGCTAAAATAAACTTTTCCTCTAAGTTGTTCTGGTTAGGTCTTTCAGTTACAGCAATGCAAAAGCGGACTTAAACACCCCAGGTTCTTCTTTTAGTCCACTAGAGGAAGCGGGGCTCATTGCACTGGAGGGCTCAGGGATATGTCCACCCCAGCCTGTAGCCTTCACACTGGCTGACATCATACTCTCTGCCAGATGTCAAAATGAGATCGGCCTTGTTGAACTATCTGGTGTGGTCTTTGCTCTTGTCCTTGCACTACTACTTCTGCTTCTTTTTCTGATTTATGAGGCTTCATTTTCCATGTCTAGTCGTGAAATCCAGATTTCACTGTTTCAGTCTTTTGTTCTCTTCCTCTTCTGGATATTCTCATTCCTGTCTCCATTGGCCCCTCCCAACCCTTGCCTCCTGCCCTGTTGGGCTTCTTTCATCTTATCCAGTTTGAATAGACAAGTTTTGCCTACACACAGTTTGGCTGAAGGCTCTGGAAGGATCTGTGAGAATGTTAAAACCCAAAGGATCCATGGGTTTATTCTTTAAACATACTGAGGCCTATGTGTGTTGCAGGCGTTGAAGATGCAAGGTTAAACACTTTTTCATCTTCAAAGAGCTCATGTGATTTAATAGGGAATCCTGAAATTTGCTTACAAAACAACAGTGCTTTTTAAAACATTAAGAAATCCAGGCACAATTTTAACGTTTCTTATGGAGAATATATGGCAATGTTTTTTTTTCACCATACAGATGCAAGTCATCTTCTGCTTCGATATTGATTTCCTGAATTTAGATTTTTCTATGATCACTTGATCCCCACAGCATTTGACAATGGTGACCAACTGCTCAGTGACATTCTTTCATTCCCTGATTGTGTAAAGGGAAATGAGGGTCAATACACAAAAGATCCAGAAGCAACACTATTAATGGCGCCATGGCCATTCTAGGGTAAGGGCCACACCTGAGTTGTCCACCTCTGTACCCACAGTGCCAGTACTGCACGCAGCCCTGAGCAGGTGTCCAATAAAGTAGCGTTGGGTGAATGGAAGGATAACTAACAGCTCCTGCTGGATGACACCCTGCTGGGTGGTGCACAGCCCCGAGGGCCGGGGCCAGGCCGCGCCCGTCGGGGGAAGGGGGGGCCCTACCGGGCAGGAAGGCGTGTCAGGGACCGCCTTTACTGGATCCGCCAGCGACAGCGAGTCGTCCCGGTGGGGCGAGGCCAGAGAAGCGGTGGCGGCCTCTCTCCCACCCCTTCGCCCGCAGCAGCAGAGCGCCGGCCCACCAACTCCACCGCCCGCGCGCGCCGCTCTTGGCTCCACCCGGCTGCTGTCGCGCTCTAGAGCGCGCGCCCGTGACCCGGAAGAGCATTCTCCTTAGCAACTGCGGGACCGCCGCGGCGCCGGCCTCCGGGGAGCAACGGTGAGGCCCTCCCCCTCCCTCTGCACGCAGCCCCGGCGCCACCTGGGCAGGCCTCCCGGGGCGCCTCGACGCTTCGCCCCGCACCTGAGGCGGCGGCTCGGGGCAAGCGTCCTACGCCTCCGGCGGCTTTCCCCGGCCCCGGCGGCGTTCCGGCCACCCACGCCCCCAGCCCCTGGTGCGGGGCCGGGCGGGTGCTCCCGTGGAGTCCAGTGCGGTGCGCTGGGAGGGAGACCCAGTGGAGCTTGTAGCCCTGAGAGGCCGCGTTCTCCCGGGTCCCACGAAGAGTCGGGGGACCTGCAGGGCCGCGGCGCCCGGGAGTCCGGAGCTGCGGCCCTCCGCGGCGGTGCACTGGCACGTCGTGAATTGTCCTCCTCGAGGGAATTAGCTTCCCAGTGTGAGCGGGGTGTTCAGGTCAGTAGCCTGTAGCTTAGACTGTGGATCCCGGTTTTCTGCCGGAGGAACCAGACCTGGGGCTGACGAGTTGCCAGAGTGAAGTGGGGCAGTGGTGTTTACGGCCCGGGTAGTCGCTGGAGAGAAGCCGCGGCCCGGACCTCCCTTCAGAGTTTGAATGAGTGGCATAGGAACATTGTTGATACCGACTTTATACTTAAATATGATGATGATGATGATGGAGCGAAGACAGACATGTGAACAGGCTTGGGAATGGCATTATTTAAGAATAAAGTGCAGAAGTTTACATACCCAAATCCACCATTCAGAACTTATGATTCCAGTTCAATAAGCATTTACTAAGCACCTACAGCATTATATGTACTCGAAAGGATTTAAAAGAAAGAGGACAGCACACTTTAAATCATTAGGAAAGCAATGAGATATCATTTGTGTAAATGCAAAAATATGTAGGTCAGGGTGGGGAAATCAATGTGGATTGGGCCTTTCAGGAATAGGATGATAGGTTAAATGAGTCTTGGTTTGTCTCTAAAGTATAGATAGAATTGTGTATGTATATACACACACATACACACATACTGGAAATTGAACCTGAGGCATCCTAGCACTGAGATTATCCTCAGTCCTCCCCACCCCCCTTTAAGTATTTTATTTTTTAGTTGTAGTTTGACACAATGCCTTTATTTAATTTATTTATTTTTAGGTGGTGCTGTACCACTGAGCCACAACTGCAGCCTCATCCCCAGTTCTTTTTATTTTATTTTTGTTTATTTTGAGACAAATGTCTTGCCAGGTTGCCCAGGCTGGCCAGGAACTTGGAATCCTCCTGCCTCGGCCTATATAGTTGCTAGGTTTGCAGGTGTGTACCATTGTGTTGGGGTAGTTAGGGAATGCTAAGTAATTTCTTTCCTTATGTTCTTTAGGGTTTTGGAAATAGTTCAGTGTGGCATTTTGAAGTCCTAATTTAATCATCTAAGGTCATTTGATTTTGGGTTTATTTTACTCTTCTTACAAGTCTCTCTGGCATTTTTCCTGAGTGAGATCGAAAACAATGACGCTACAGCAGGGGACTTTGCTCCTTAGAGTTTATTTGCTTTTGTAGTTGGTCTTGCATTTATATGAAACACAATAGTTTAGGTAGAATTATTTAGTTTTTGTTATTTTATATATTTTTAGTTGTAGTTGGACACCTTTAGTTTTATTTCTTCATTTTTATGTTGTGCTGAGGATGGAACCCAGGTCCTCGCACCCGCTAGGTGAGCACTCCACCGCTACTTCTGAGTCTTGGGAAATTCTGCTCTGTTAGTTCCTGGGTGTTTCCTATGTAGCAAACGTGTTGTTTCAAAACACGAAACAACAGTTTTGTGATATACAAAACAGCATTTACTCAACAACCAGTAACTTTATCTATGTTGTGCCTGGGTGTGTATTTAGCTTATCAGTCTTTGTTGGTCAGCATTTGCCTTGAGACATAGTAGGGCTAGAACAACTTAGAGGCATCTGAACTAACACTCCTTTTTAAAGTTTAATAGGAATTTTAGACTCATTTTCTTTGGGGATCTACCAAAGATTTTTGTTACTTTCTTATAGATAGTGTTCATTTATTAACTTATTCAACAAATATTTAAGTGCTTACTTGGTATCAGGCATGTGCTTGGCCTTGGGAGATGGGGAAAGGTGAATGTATACATGGTCCCTGTCCTCAGCAGATGGTAATCAGGGAATCACACAAATGTTAAACTATAGCTGTGACAGGTGTTTTGGCATCTGAACTGAGAACTGCAGGATGCACAGGAAAGGAAATGTTCTGGTGAGAGCAATTAGGAGGGCAGAGACCCTCTGATGGCAGGGTCCATGGAGAGGACCAGGGACTTAAGGTACATCTCTGTATCTCTGGAGGAATATGGCAGAATTTCGTGGGGGAGAGGACCAGAGAGGTGGGCAGGGACCAGATGGTGGTGGACATTGTATGTAGAGATTCTCTTTATCCTCGGAGTAGAGAGAAGCCTCTGTAAAGGGTTTTACTTAGGGACTTAGGCTGGATTTCTCATGGGGATGACACAATTAGATTGTGTTTGAATAGCCTGCTTTGTATTTCTCCCACTGGTTGGTGTTTTGTCTTCTCATCCCTCAACAACAAATCCCTTTGCTTTATTACAGATGGAGAAGCCTCAATGTTTCACTATTAAGATGTGCTCAATTTTTTAATTTTTAATTGAGAGAAAAAGAGTTTTAGGGATTAAGACTGGTCATTAGGAGTTAGTTGATTTGAAATACTTTTTCATCATAACTACTAAGGCACTAATTTCAGTGACTCTTTTTAAAAAAATCATCTAATTTAAAACTTATGGTCTTAAACATTTTTTTAGTGGTAGTTCAGTGGTGCTAACTATATTGTTATGTAACAGGTCTCTAGAACTTTCATGTAAAATTGAAACTCCATTCCCATCAAACAGTTCACCATCCCCCACTCCCCAGTCCCTGGCAACCACCATTCTACTTTGTGTTGCCATGATTTTGACAAATTTAGATATTTCATGTAAGTGGAATCATATAAGACATATTCATTTTTACCTTCATGCTTTTCCCCTAGTATATCCTTGCCTTTCCCATCAGTCAATTCAATCCTACCAATTTTTAAAGACCCAGATTTTCTCCCTTGTCTTTTGATCTCATATTCCTAGAGCCAGAGTGGAAGAGGCTATAGATATCATCTTGTCTAACCCTCTTTTGTTCTGTCTGAGACAATAGAGGCCCGTGCTTTGCCAAAGGAGAGACATCTAATCAGTCAGAACAGAGTTGGGATGAGCTCTCTGGTCTTTCACCCTTCGACGATGGTATCTTTTTTGGTTTGGCTACTTATTGGTGGTTTAATACTCTGTTCTTTAGTTACACCAGAAGCATCCTGAGGTACAGAATGGTTATCTGTATCCCTGTAGCATTTTACTGAGGTATATTAAAATGCTGTGTATGTTAGCTTCGGATAACAAGTATCTGAGATAATAAAAATATAAAGAAAAATGATTTATTTTCTCTTATAGTTTTAGAGGTTCAGTCTGTGATGAGTTGACCCTGTTGCTTTGGGCCTGTGGTGACATATCATGTGGGAGCACATGGCTGAGCAGAACCACTCACCATATAGCTGGGAAGTGAAAGAAAGAATTCTGAGGAAGGACACAGGGTGACACCCAGTGACCTAAAGACCTCCCAGTAGGCGCCACCTCTTAAAGATTCCATCACTGCCCAGTAGTGCCCTGGGCTGGGAACTAAGTCTTTAACACATTGATCTTTGAGAGACACTCACTTATTCAGGCCACAGCAGAAACTCAAGGAATATTTGTTGGTTACTTGATTGATTTCAGGGATTTTATTGATTAAAAGGTGGCCCTGTGTGAAGTTTTGAACTTCTTTGGTTATCGTAATCAAATTTACATTGTTCTTTCTGCAATTGAGTAATTCTTTCCCTTTTGTAGTTAAGCTCTTTCACCTTTTCCTAGGGCCTTCTACAGTGCATATGATTGCCCATGACACATCGAGTTGGGTTCCCCTGAAAATTTTGATGATACTCTACTGAAAGAGCTATCAAATGAAAAAATTAATGCATTAAGCTTTTTAGGTTAGTTGATTTATTTACAAGCAAAAGTTTATCCTTCTGAGTTTTGTTGCTGCTAAATGTTTTTTTTTAATATTTATTTTTTAGGTGTAGTTGGATATAATACTTGTATTTTATTTATTTATTTTTATGTGGTGCTGAGGATTGAACCCAGGGCCTTACACATGCTAGATAAGCACTCTATCACTGAGCCACAATCCCAGCCTAAGCTCCTAAATGTTTTTGAATTATATTTGTACTATAGTTTATAGTGCTTATCTCAGAATGTCTGTAGAACCAGCTGAATTTAGGTATTGTACTTGGAATGATTCTGAGATGAGCCAATATTCTAAGTTCAAAAAAGTATAACAACATTTTTTTTTGTGTGTGTGTGTGTGAGGAAGATTTATAAGCTTTATTTATTTCAGACTTTGGTTTCTCATAGTATTATATGACCAGTCTTCTAGAATGTAGTTTCTAGAAAACCTTTTTATTTCAACCTCTAAAAAGTTATTTTTTGTTTTTAAATAAGTAGCTGTGGGCACAGGGACAAACGAAACTGAGAATAAGTCAGTGGATCCCTCTGAGGTCCAAATGTGTGGGCCATTATTGGTGATGTCAGAGAGGTGGAGACTTGGCCAGAGTTTTTGTTATCTTTATTAGACGAGGATAGTTGTGGATCCGCACAAGATGTTTTTTGTCATGTAACATGAAGCAAAATGGTTTGACAAGGACTTTTCAGGTTGAGAGCATTTTATTTGCAGCCCTAGCAAGAACTTGATGTCCCAGAGCTGCTATTATATGACTAGCTATATTGAAGCTAGAATCGGTCAAGTTAATCAATTGTTAGTCCAACTACTTTGGGTTCCTTTCTTGGCTCCCAATAACTGGCTGGCTCTGGGCTGCACTAATGGTGGCAGACAAGAGCCAGTGTTCACACAAGTGGGAAAGGATCTTTGTATGATGCAGTATATAGTGAAAATGTCTCTCATGAAGT